AAAGTCTGACGAAATAAGATGATGACCCAATGCGAGATGATCATGCATGATGAAAGGAGATGATGAAACGAGATGATGCAATGTAGCATCTTATATAAGGATATCTGACTTGGTTGCTTATGTAAGAGAATCTCCTTACGTAACACTTCAATAAGTCAGCTAGCATCGGATGACTTATGACTAACCTGTCTAAAATAAATCCATATCTCATGATCGAGAACTTTGATGCGTTGTTGACTGTGGAATCAGATCAGAAGAGGAGAGAGATTATAAACAAATAGACTAACGAAAACGACCACTTTGATGACATCAAATATGAATGCTGTCATAACCCTTTGACGGGCGACGAAATGTTTATGTCCCACTTTTTTGTTTATTATTATAGGAATATAATAAAGTGCGCACAATGACTCGGCTAGAAAGGAAAATATCACTGCATGTATAAAATTAATTTTTGGATATGCAACTTTGGGTTCATTGCTTCTACAGTAAATTATAAAGAAAACCGCCACTCACGACGGAACTTTTCCAGGTGTCCAACCACATTTGAGCTTATATAACGAGTTTGATAACGAAGAAGACAATTATTTCATCTGCAAGTCGTACGACAGTACAGATCCGCTATGAAAAAGGGTGAGCTGACCCTCAATCAGGATGGTCAGCCACTTGCAAACGCGAAAGCCATCAATCAAGGTGATCTCATGGTGAAATCTAGTAACATACCAGCCAATAGTGAACGCACAGCGTTCAACGAATCACAAAAAGACGCCGCTCGGGAAAAAGCGGACATCATTCTTGGTACTAATCGTGGTTTTAATCATGAGGATCGTGCAGGCAAAGTTTTAAATAAGGGTAGTTATGGTTGTTACAGAGACATGGGTTGGCAAGTAGATCATTCTCGTTCCTTAGCTGAAGGAGGTCATATATCTTGAATAAGTTAGTCAGTCTTCCCAGTAAAAACTGCTAGTGCATGAAATGTTTAGCAGTCTTTTCTATCATCTATGAATCCCTCCTTCTTCGTAAGCATTTATCTTGTTTTCGATTATATATTTCAATGAACTAAAAAATAAAGGGCTAGGTTAACTTGTCCTAGGAGAGGTTCAGTCACTAGTGGTTGTTGAGTAAAATTTTCGAAGCTGCGGCACGGACTAGCTCTGTTGCTTTGTCCGGATGTTTACGCTGCGGTAATGGTTTTCCATCAGCAGCATTGATAAACGACTTTGGATGAACAAGAACGTGAAACTTGAGAAAGTCATTTCCCTTGCTATCGAGCTTTCCACAATAGCCAAGACCAGTATTGATAACGTACATACTATATTCGTTAACGAGAAGTTCACAAATGCGTGTGTAGACTTGAAATAGTTGTACATCGGTAAACTGGAAACTGCTGCCTAAATCTTTAAGATAAAGCGTCATTTTCATCTCGTAGTTCGGCATTCCAAAGATGATCAGAGATTCAGGCGCCGAATGACCACCCCGTCTAAGGTTCCAATCGCGTACTTTTAGCTCATTCGCAGCAGTGACGAATAAATCAGCTGAATAAGTGCCATTCTTGTAGGACAATGGTTCTGCCTCAATTGATACCATGCGATCGAATGAATCAAACGTTCGCTGCCACAGTTCAAGTGAATCATCAATGTCGGCAGGTTTCGCTGCCATCCACTGAAGAGAAAAAGAAGGGAATTGAGCATAAGTGCTCAAAGAGAAGATTCCGGAAAGGTGCGAAAATGTGAATAAAACGAAGAGCCAGTAGACAAAAGGCGTATTCTCACACCTAAGTTTCATAGTTATTCGGTTTATTGGAAGGGAGATAAAAACATTGAGGGTGAGAGCGTTCTTGAAAAACGCAAAACTGTTAGGCAGGACTCTAGGAATGAGTACAGTTGTTTTCTACAAGTTTTAATGGGTTTATTCTAGAGTTGCACAAACCGATTTTGTTTTGTCCCGGTTCCTCCGGTTCCGATAAATTTTTCGACATTTGTCCCTGTCCCTTCCCAGTCGTCCCGATCGCTAAAAAAGGTGAATTTTTTTCTGTTCAGGTATTTTTTGTTTTGCGTCTATCTCTGATTTTTTATATGTTATAGAGCTCGTCGAGTTAAGTATGAAACCCAAGTTTTTCGATTTTTGAAGCTCTGTTACGGTGTTACAGCATTCATAAAAAAACGTCTTTTTGCTGGCGTCTATCAGACACCTAAGAAGTATTTTGAAAACGCACTGAGCAAGTTTTTGAGAAGGGTGCGTGTTACTTTTAAACAGCGAGGGAACAAAAGTCGTAAAAGAAAATCTGTTGTGTAGCAATAAGCGGGCTTCTAACGAGCCAAATTGAAGCGGCTGAGAAAAGTAAAAATACGAACTGTGACAAATGTCAAGTCCGTATGCTTCAATTCAAAACTCGATTTCAACTTACATCGTTCTAAGCCCACTTATTGCTACATAACAGACTGTAGCGGCACCTTACACAGTTCTCTAATGAACGATATTTTCGGGTGGATGTTGTAGAATGTTGTTGACAATGTAGTATTCTAACTGTTAGTGCATAGAACTTGTTCTATCAAAGTGCAAACCTGCTACCACTAGAAAGCATTTACATACCATACCGCCATATCGACCATGAGTCGTTCTCTCCACATTAACGGAAGTAGGAAAAAATTTTCCATTCAACACAAATCCACAAATTCCATAGTCCGCAGGCACGCCGGACCACTTTTCGGCCTCTTCCGATTCTTCAACAACGCCAAAGGGCGGCAATTCCTCATGTCCCCATCCATCATTGATATATTTTGTCAAATAGTCCACTCGCTCACTTTCTTCTTTTGTCTTATCGTAGAGAACAGCATGCGAATCAGGACTCATATTGGTCCCACCCCCACATCCTGATGAATCGTATTTAGCAAAAGCACTCAGATGAAAATCATTTTGAAAGCGCTCAATGGCACGAACGATGCCCTGAGCAAAGGATCTGACATTCTCAGGTGTCTTTTTTCGACGTTCAGCCGTGCCGTCACGACGAGCGTTGAGATAAGTTGGATAGTCCTCGATAATCGTTCCGTTCGGAGACACACCCAGTGTAAAGAGAAGATCCGAAAAGTCGTGCGATTGTAAAAGAAAGTGATGGTCTGCTTTGTCATCCGATGGAACGTCGGGCAAAGTAAGTTTGTTCGCGTACGGTTCCCCGAGTTCTTCTTTCAGCTCTTTGGTCATCTGATACGGATAAACAAATGTCCGCTTCGAATCTCGAGTAAGGGCGTCAAAATGGCGTTTGATCAAGTCAGAATGAAAGGAGAAGGTGGGTATGAGCTGAAAGGAGGGACGTTGCGCAAATCGTTCACAGATTTCTGTATACTTGGTTTGATCTTGGACGAACAGGTCTAGTATGTCAATGAGTTCGCCTGAAATCGACAAAAGTTTTCTATAAGACTTAGTGAGGGTGAATTCGATCGTTTGGCAGATTTAAGGAATTTGTTTAAGTACATGTGTGTGACATTCCGCTCTATAGTTACATCACTTCATATCAATTGTGTGACAGTGGGCAAATCCATGAAAAGTGTACCAAAAGTGGGGAAAGATTTTTCTTTTGAACTTTTTAATAGCATATTCAAACTGAAGTCGGGAAATGAGTTAGAACATATCGGAGAAATTTTAAACCGAAGTTTAGTGGGGAAAAAGTTCCGAAGACCGAAAGTCTGCCCGCTATAGGGAAGGACTTTGGTCATGAAATTCTTTCTCTTTTATCTGTGACTTGTCTAATATAAAATCTGATACCAGGTTTGAATTCCAGATACGGAACTACATCCAAAAAACGATATTTTCAAATTTCACACTTTACTTTGGCATCGTCAGCGGACTATCATAAAGACGATCACCCTACAGGGTACCACAGGGACCGAATTTTGAATTTTTGTGTTTGACGGCTGATGACCTTCTTATGAGTACTAATGGGAGAAAAACGAATGTGAACAACCCTTCAAGGTATACAACGCGATCTTGTGATCACTGACTGAAAAAAACGAAAAAGGCTCATTACTGTAACCAACTAGGATGCATCAAATGCTAATATCGTTTTTTCGTGTCAGTAGTCCCAAGACCTTACTGAATATCTCAGAAGAATGTCCACATTGGATTTCCTCAAATAGCACAGTGTGCATCTAGGTGGACATTAGGTCAAAAATCGAAGGTGAGCCGTTTTCTGATTTGAATAGTGTCATATATAATTCGTTCGCTATTTACTGGCGTTAAAATTTTGTTTTTACGACTTTTCCTCACGGAGTTATACGAGAAAAAAGGACGAAAAACGAGAAATACGTTGGAAAAAGGGTGTTTGCGGTATAATGAAGGTCCACAGCTCATAACTCATTACCGCGAACGACATTACCGCGAATACAAAAAACGACATTACAGTGAACGACGTTACCGCGAAGACTCGTTTATTGGAAAAGAAGAATAAATGAGCCTGGTTTTGTACTTTGTATATCATGTGG